GAGGTCTTTTTCATTGTTATTTTAGGGGATTTCTCTTGTTCTTTAAATTGGGGGTAGTTCCTCTGCTTCATTTTTCTTGTATCTCTCTGGCACTATGGATTATGAAGTATCAGTTATCTACTGTGGTACTTGAAGGGATTTTTTTTAAAAGATGTAGACTGTGTAGATTGTGCACCCCTAATAATTTTGTCCTGAGATCTGTTTTTAGTATGGATGGTAGCCATGTCTCTCTTCTGTGTGTGTTGGCTGTTATCCCTTTGTTTGGGGTGTGGCTGGCGTTTTAGGGACTAGAGCCTGCCTTGGCTATTGAGCAGGGCCTCCTTTTTGTTCTGTGGTTGTCACAGCTGTGAGAGAAGCCAGGTTTGTTCCTCTTTTGTTGAAATGGAGGCCTCCAGACCCATTTCTGAGCTGTGCTGTGTAGTAGGCGTGGTTGGAGCACTTTAGGTACTGTTGATTCTGCCCTTGTCACCGCTTTAGCCACAGGGATGTCAGTGCACTGCTCTGGTGTTCCCCAGGTTTTCTGCCCTCAGAGATACCAATGCAGTCGCACACGTGGATCAGGGTGCACTACTGGGTGAGCTCCATCCCCAGCACCAAACACTGCTCCTGCACTAACTCATCTTAAAGACCTGCACTGAGGCCCCCAGCCCTCAGTGACTGTGCGTCTGTGCTACTGGGTCAGTGCCATCTCCAGTGTACTCACCCTACTACGTGACCTCTGCTTACTTCTTCCAGAGGCCTGCAGGTTGCGCCACCAGGTCAGCACCTTTCCCAGCAGTGTCTGCATGTGGTCGGCAGGTTCACAGAAAACGACCCAGCAGCCCTCGCCACCACTGTGTCAGAACTCCACTCCTTGTTTTTTTTCTTAGAGGTGCAGGTCTACAAAGGCACCCATGGACCAAAACACTCCCCACTACCCAGGGCTGTAAACAGATTTCAGTCTCTCCTATGAACTTGCGGAGCCCCTGGGTACGGATTCAGGTTTCAACCCCATCTCAGCCTGGGAGCTGCACACCACCATCCTCTCCTTTTTCCCTATCCTTCCTTTCTCTTTTTCTCCATTCTCCTTCTCCTCTTCCCTTATATTTCTTTCATTCTGTCTCCTCTTTCTGCCCTTCCCTTTCTTTTCTTTTTTTCCCTATCCTTCCTTCTCCCCTTTCCTCTTCCCTTCCTTCCTTTCTCTCTGTTCTCCCCTTTATCTTCTTCCTTTCTCTCCATTTTCTCTTCTTCCCCCCTTTCTTTACCTCCACTTTCCCTTTCCCTCCCTTCCTCCTTTCTAATGGGGGACCCAGGCTATTCTGTATGCACTCCCAGCCACAGCACGCTCCAGGCCTGAGGTTGCTTCTGCCCAGTCAAGTCCCAGTCCTCCAGCCAGGTAGGGCAGCCAGTCTTGGCCTACCTGCACAGATTCAAGTCTAGGGCTGGGCGTCACAGGGACCCTTTGTGCCTGTTTCACTTAGTTCTGTTGGCCAAGGGCTGCTCTACACAGATCCAAGCCTTGGAGGTTCCCCTTCTATCCCTGCTGACCTCTTTGTTGGAGGGGGGTAGACCCACTGTAAGAGTGCTATTCCTCCTTTGCCATTCCCTCCCAGCAGGACAGCTCCTACACTGATTTCTCCCCCCACGCCAGATTTGTGAGGAATGTTGTCTTTTGAAAAGGCGATGTTCTGTCAAAGCTCAGCCGGTGTTCTGAGTGATTGGTTGGTCTGTGGATATTTCTTGGTGTATTCATAGGAGTGGGTGAGCTAAGAGCACCCTTCTGCTGCACCATCTTGTCTGCTCCTCTGTGAAATATTAATGAAATAAAAAGGGAAAATACGTTGAAAATACTAAATTATGTTCTTGTTTAGGCAATCTCCCTCCAAAAATAAGGCATGCAAAATATACCTTACAGTATACATCTGTATAACTTACAGCAAAAGTAAAAAGAGAAGCAATATTGTACAGAATTGTGGGAAATTGAGTAAAATTCATAAC